TTCGATTGACTAATTTTTCTTTTTTTTGTTTGATGCTGTAAGTGTACTTCTGCACATGGGTTTTCATGCAACATCATAATGTAACATTTTTGGCATAATAGAGTCCGGTAATATGAGATATATTTATGAAAAGCATACCTGTAAGCATAGGTATCAGGTTATGTAACACTCAGAGATGGCATGCCTCAAAGGCAGCTTTAGAGACATCAGTGCCTGAGAACTTGTCAGGTGAGCCACATAATGCGGGATGATTTGAAGCGAGTTTTGCACGCTAGGACTTCCCCAGTGAAACCAGAGAATGAGCCGTAACAATAGAAAGCATGTTTTCTGTAATCAGGCTTATATGTTGAGGATTACAGGTGTCCAGTTGTGAGCTCGGCCACAAATGCAAACTACTAAATAGCCCTCTGTGTGTTAGACATGAATAGCCTGCAGATTCTTAGTAACAAGTCCTGTGTATCTACAGAAACAAACAGGGATCAAGAACACAGGCAAACAGGCACAGGGAGAAGCATACTTGGGGTACATTGATGTCAATGATGTGGAAACATTTTCCTTTGTGGGTTTGTTTGCGCACACAGACTGCACAGTTATCAAAACGATCCCGTTCACACGCATCCGCGAAAACGACTAAAAACTCCCCTGAGAGCACCCATGTTCCTTTGTGAGAGTGTGTCAGCATTAGTGCCCTGCTGCCAGGAAAAGTGTTGGAAAGGTAAAGGGTTGTCAGTGTTCTGTGTCAGAATTGCGAGATATAAAGTCAGAATTGCAAGATATAAAGTCAGAATTGCGAGATATAGTCAGAATTGCGAGATATAAAGTCAGAATTATGAGAGATAAAGTCAGAATTGCGAGATATAAAGTCAGAATTGTGAGATAGTCAGAATTGCGAAATATTAAGTCAGAATTGCGAGATATAAAGTCAGAATTGCGAGATATAGTCAGAATTGCGAGATATAAAGTCAGAATTGCGAGATATAAAGTCAGAATTGCGAGATATAAAGTCAGAATTGTGAGATATAAAGTCGCAATTGCGTGTTATAAAGTCAGAATTGTGAGATATAAAGTCAGAATTGCGAGATATAAAGTCAGAATTGCGAGATATAAAGTCAGAATTGCGAGATATAAAGTCAGAATTGCGAGATATAAAGTCAGAATTGCAAGATATAAAGTCAGAATTGCGAGATATAGTCAGAATTGCGAGATATAAAGTCAGAATTATGAGAGATAAAGTCAGAATTGCGAGATATAAAGTCAGAATTGTGAGATAGTCAGAATTGCGAAATATTAAGTCAGAATTGCGAGATATAAAGTCAGAATTGCGAGATATAGTCAGAATTGCGAGATATAAAGTCAGAATTGTGAGATATAAAGTCGCAATTGCGTGTTATATAAAGTCAGAATTGCGAGATATAAAGTCAGAATTGCGAGATATAAAGTCAGAATTGCGAGATATAAAGTCAGAATTGCGAGATATAAAGTCAGAATTGCGAGATATAAAGTCAGAATTGTGAGATATAAAGTCAGAATTGCGAGATATAAAGTCAGAATTGCGAGATATAAAGTCAGAATTGTGAGATATAAAGTCAGAATTGCGAGATATAAAGTCAGAATTGTGAGATATAAAGTCAGAATTGCGAGATATAAAGTCAGAATTGTGAGATATAAAGTCAGAATTGCGAGATATAGTCAGAATTGCGAGATATAAAGTCAGAATTGCGAGATATAGTCAGAATTGCGAGATATAAAGTCAGAATTGCGAGATATAAAGTCAGAATTGCGAGATATAAAGTCAGAATTGCGAGATATAAAGTCAGAATTGCGAGATATAAAGTCAGAATTGCGAGATATAAAGTCAGAATTGCAAGATATAAAGTCAGAATTATGAGAGATAAAGTCAGAATTGCGAGATATAAAGTCAGAATTGTGAGAGTCAGAATTGCGAAATATTAAGTCAGAATTGCGAGATATAAAGTCAGAATTGCGAGATATAGTCAGAATTGCGAGATATAAAGTCAGAATTGTGAGATATAAAGTCGCAATTGCGTGTTATAAAGTCAGAATTGCGAGATATAAAGTCAGAATTGCGAGATATAAAGTCAGAATTGCGAGATATAAAGTCAGAATTGCGAGATATAAAGTCAGAATTGCGAGATATAAAGTCAGAATTGTGAGATATAAAGTCAGAATTGCGAGATATAAAGTCAGAATTGCGAGATATAAAGTCAGAATTGCGAGATATAAAGTCAGAATTGTGAGATATAAAGTCAGAATTGCGAGATATAGTCAGAATTGCGAGATATAAAGTCAGAATTGCGAGATATAGTCAGAATTGCGAGATATAAAGTCAGAATTGCGAGATATAAAGTCAGAATTGCGAGATATAAAGTCAGAATTGTGAGATATAAAGTCAGAATTGCAAGATATAAAGTCAGAATTGTGAGATATAAAGTCGCAATTGCGTGTTATAAAGTCAGAATTGCGAGATATAAAGTCAGAATTGCGAGATATAAAGTCAGAATTGTGAGATATAAAGTCAGAATTGCGAGATATAGTCAGAATTGCGAGATATAAAGTCAGAATTGCGAGATATAGTCAGAATTGCGAGATATAAAGTCAGAATTGCGAGATATAAAGTCAGAATTGCGAGATATAAAGTCAGAATTGCGAGATATAAAGTCAGAATTGCGAGATATAAAGTCAGAATTGCGAGATATAAAGTCAGAATTGCGAGATATAAAGTCAGAATTGCAAGATATAAAGTCAGAATTGCGAGATATAAAGTCAGAATTGTGAGATATAAAGTCACAATAGCGTGTTATAAAGTCAGAATTGCGAGATATAAAGTCAGAATTGCGAGATATAAAGTCAGAATTGCGAGATATAAAGTCGCAATTGCGTGTTATAAAGTCACAATTGCAAGATATAAAGTCAGAATTGCGAGATATAAAGTCAGAATTGCGAGATATAAAGTCAGAATTGCGTGTTATAAAGTCAGAATTGTGAGATAAAGTCAGAATTGCGAGATATAAAGTCAGAATTGTGAGATATAAAGTCGCAATTGCGTGTTATAAAGTCAGAATTGCGAGATATAAAGTCAGAATTGCGAGATATAAAGTCAGAATTGCGAGATATAAAGTCAGAATTGCGAGATATAAAGTCAGAATTGCGTGTTATAAAGTCAGAATTGTGAGATAAAGTCAAAATTGCGAGATATAAAGTCACAATTCTGAGAAAAAAGACAGAAGTGCGACTTTTTATCTCACAATTCTGACTTTTTTTCTCACAATTGCAAGTTTACATCTCACAATTCTGACTTTATAACACATACTTGCGAGTTTATCGCAAAAGTCGAAATTCTGACATCTTTTCTCAGAATTGTGAGATATAAACTCGCAATTACCTTTTTTATTTTTCTTTCTGTGGCGGAAACAAGCTTCCATACATATCTGAGTGAAACAGTTTCTGGAACCAGATAAAATGTAAAACGGGACTTGCTTTTATACATTTTATCCATGGGGATTTGATTGGATGGATGTGGTTTGCTATTGGTGGATCTCTTGTGAGTGACAGGTTGCCCCGCCCTCACGCCACTAAACACATCATCAGAGAAGAGATGTCGCTGCAAGTGGGAGGGGAAGATATTCTGATTTAGACTATATGCACATGAATTAAAGAAAATGTGTTTACTGGCATGATACTGGCGAATGATTTGTAATAAACACAGTAGCCTAATATTCCATAAAAAAACAAAAACTGTCCATTTTTATTTCATGGTGGCTTTAAAATGTTGATATACAGTATATCAAGCACACACCAATCAATGCACGGATCTTAGAAAAATCCTAATAATGACCACAAAAGCTTCACAGACACTTAAGATTAAGCTCAAAGTATTGCTAAACTTCACATGGAGGTTTTACCCTTATCCGCACTTGGCAGCTCTGGGGGAAATTGTTCAATGAAAAACATGGCCCCTGAGAGCACCCATGTTCCTTTGTGAGAGTGTGTCAGCATTAGTGCCCTGCTGCCAGGAAAAGTGTTGGAAAGGTAAAGGGTTGTCAGTGTTCTGTGTCTATTAAAACACGAACATAGCTTTTCTTGGACAAGAGTGGTTGAACTCTGTTTCCGCTCTCCCCCTAATGCTCAGTTATCGAGATAAACTAAGCTTTAAAAAAATCTTTAACAGACTCGGTCTCAGCTGAATGAACAAATACACAAGCCCTCTGATGATCGGTGTGTTATGGTTATTGAAGGATATGTGGTAAGTGTGTATTAAGGTGTAAATCACAAACACGCCACTAGTGCGCGGTAATGAGTCACGTGTGTTTCTGCCGCCAGACTCTAAACTTCACTGATGCGTTTTAATGTGCATTTCTGATGCTCACTGATTATCCCCCAGACTAATAACTAATTCATACAATTTGATTAATATTTCATTTTTTCTAGGTGCCAAACGAAGTGCCTGCAACGCCTCAAAACCCATTTGATGGAGACACAAAAGCAGTGAAGATTCAGAGGGAGAAGATAGTGAAGTTGAAACTAAAGGTTATGAGCAAGTGATTGGTAAGAATGATATTTTTATTATTTTTCTTTAAACAAATTTAAGTTACTATTTTACAGTTTACAATTTCATATTCATTTTATCTTAGACAAAAAAAGAAATAATTAAAGAGAAAGTCACAGAGAAATTGTTCTGTAGCTAAACACTATATGTTCCTTCAAATAACTGGACAAAATGAAAACAGATTTCCACTTAAGTGGAATAATTGAAAACGTTTATCCGCTTCAGCTCTCACCTCTGTACACTCGACGCAACGCGTGGTGATTAAAATAAGATCGAGTAGGACGCGTCGCGTCACGCGCTTGCACTGTAGACTGTTTGAATTACTGTACGCGTTAGTCCCACCCTCTTTACTGAGAGAGAGAGAGAGAGAGAGAGAGAGAGAGAGAGAGAGAGAGAGAGAGAGAGAGAGAGAGAGAGAGAGAGAGAGAGAGAGAGAGAGAGAGAGAATGATTCTCTCTCCCGTGTGACAAACAGGCGCTCGTGAGGATCTTGTCAGTAAACTAGAGGAGATCTCAAACATCACTGATCTATCCAGGATAACTCTGGACATCTTCAGGTTGTTTTTTCCCCTGTTATTGAAAAGACGCTTTTCCATCGCTGCATGTGTCAAAGCCAATGAGAGACGTGGAGTTCTGTGATCATTCTCACATTGACGCGCACATGAAGCGCTTTGACGCGGTTCTGGATTTGGAGAGCGCGTGAGGAGTTCTGGATCGGTGCGTGTCTGACCATTAACACCAGCGCGCGCACGTTCTCTGGACCTGACACACTCATGCATTACAAAGTAAGTTGAACTGTCACAACTAGATGCTCGTGTTTACTATTAGTATTGTGGTTTTGTTTAATTTAGCCTATGTTTGGTTAATAAAATAGATTAGTACAATTAGTTATAGTATTGAATAGAATGGTATAGTTTATTAAGCAGTATGCCGAACTAGTGCAATATAGTATTTCAATGGTATACATCAGTATAAAATATAGTTTTACAAGTAATACTAATGAAGTACAGAATGTAATATTAAATGTTAGAATAAAAGTAATAGAATAGAAATAATACACTCTTTAAAAAGAGGTTCCAAATGTTTTTTTTTGCCATAGAAAACCCGTTTTGGGTTCTCCAAAGAACCTTTCAGTGAACAGTTCTAAAAAGAACCTCATGGAACCATAAAGAACCTTTATTTTCCCATACATTGAAATAATGTAACAAGTAATAAAACTGAAATAGACATGTCTAAGCGATTTAAATATCCCTTATAAGTTTTACATTGGATGTACTATTGATACTTTTTTTTTAAATACACTATTTAAACGGTGTCTGGAGTGGTTTAGGTAACACTAAACAAACATCTTTTTCCAAAATGGTGTAATTATGTGAATAGCATCTCTATTTATACCCCGCTGTGGTAATTGGAGAACTGTAAACAAGTTATTTTATATGGCAGCGCTTACTGAAACGAATGGCTTTACAGTTAACCCAGAATATCCAGGATGGGGTTCCCTGGGTGAAACGCAGCAGTTTAGAAGAGAGAAGTGCTTTCCACTGGTGCTTGTACAATAATAATGGCCAAAGGGCAAAATGTGATCCAGGAAAGCCTAATGCTCCTCCCTGTACTTAATAACATTCATTGTGCCCATTTTGTGAAAGTCTTTAAGCGTGTTGTTAGTACATGTGGAAAGTTCTGCAAGAATGAGCAAATGCACATGATTCTTGATGCTTTAGTGCTCTTAGAGAAGAGTTGAAACGCTTGTAGACAAACAGGAAACGTGTGCCATGCACTGAGACTCTCAAAGAATGGCACACACTTCAACTGTTTATTGCCCTCAGGAAACTATAAACCTGACGTGCGATTGCATTAGTTACCGGTGAATGATGACAACTTAACAGCAATAAATTATGACAACAGCCAGTGTGTTTTCATTAACATAAGCTGTGCGAGGAATCACTCGATGGTGAGAAGCCAATTAATAAATATTGTGACGGTGATGTATTTTAAAAAGCGAACCATCCAAAAAACTTCTGGATTTAAATGTTATTAGAGGCCTGTTGGAACTTCTGAGGTTTGTCATATTAAGGAATAAGCAGCAGTTTCTTAAAGGGCTTGGCGGGATGAAGTTGTAATTGTGGTATTAACGGCTAGCAGGACATATGGGGACGAGTGCACCCAGTATATGAGTTGTGTAGGTTATCCTGCTGGGTGGTCTGGGTGCTGGTCAGACCTCCATGGCACTTTCCTTGGTTTTCTTCATTAACCACAAACGTGTATAACCATCATCATTCCTGAAAAACAGCTGGACTGATTGTAACTGCTGAATGAAGACGTTTGAACAAAATGTTCAGTGTCATTATATAAAAGACAGGGTTTTTTCTATGCCGACTCGTAAAAAAATGTCATGCTAAATGTATAACTATTCAGCAAGGATACAATTGATCCAAAGTGACAGACTTTTACTAAATGCTGATTTTTAGTACTGTAAATGCTATTCTTTTACAGTTTCAACTCCTAAATTATTATGTCACAGTTTCAAATCATATTAGAATGATTTCTGAAGGATCATGTGACACTGTGCTGAAAATTCAGCTTCGATCACAGGAATAAATTACATTTTAAAACACTGTAAAAATTAATGTGCTTTATCTAATCAAAAAAAATTGTCAATTAATTCAATATAACAAAATATAATTGAGTAATAATTAATGAAATTAATTTCTTAAAAGTTAACCATTTAAAATTAGTAAAACGTACAAAAAAGTCACCATTGTGGTGATCAGTTTAGGTTTGTTTTAAAATTACGATTTTCTCCTTCAGCGATTCTGCTTGTTAACATCTGGTGTCTTGTTGTCAATATGTCAATGTTGGCAATATAAAATAAAGATAATATAAAATAATTAATCTTTGACGCCTGTCTGTTATTCAGATATTTTTGTTTATTTATTTATTTTTTTGTACACTTTACTCATTTTAAATGGTTAACTTTTAAGGAATCAATTCTAAATTGTTCAATTTAACTAATTATAATGCTTGTAATCTCTTGCCACAATTTTATTGATTAAATAAAGCGTATTCATTTTTACAGTGCAGTTATATTTAATTGCAACACTATTTCATAATATTGCTGTTTTTACTGTATTTTTATCAAACAAATGCAGCCTTGGTGTTTGGACTTCTTTTAAAAAGATTACAATTCTTTCGACCAAATTATTTGATTGTAGTGTTGTAGTATGTATATATATATATATATATATATAATGGATTCATGAAGGTACATGAAGGATAAATGATGAATGTTCATTAATGTGTACAATGCTCAACCTATAGTTTCACCACTATAGAAAAATGTAAAATATATAAGTGAGACCTAAGCTCTCCTGGTCTGTGGTTTTGCTGATCTTGCTCTCAAAGCAATTTTTTGGCACAACTTGATTTTGCCACCCAAAAAAACCCTACATTTTCCCCCCCGTCACGTAATCTATCTTTGTCACTGGTGTAAAATGCTCAATTCACTGTTACATCCTCCAGTGAGTAGGTATCGCACAGAGAACTCTTTGTACGATGGGCCGTATATAGCGTTAATCAGCGAGCCGCCACTCGACGCGTGCGTTGGGGGATATTTTTAGTGGATCATGTGTTCATAGTTTAGAGTGAGGTTAGTTAAAGTATTTAAAATGTGACTTGTTGGCTCTTGAGGTAACAGATACTGCGTCCACTGTAACACGCCACTGGAATCCTGTCCAGTTATTCCCATTAACGGGATAGTCAGCAGGTTTCTTGAGCTCCTGCTTCAGTCTGTTCAGCTTTCGTACTTGACATCTGTACACTGACAGTGTCTCCAGCAAGAATCCCAAGCCAGGTGTCTTCCAAATGACAAATGGACATTCTTGACCTCCTGAGGTCTTACAGAAGCCCAGCTGATCAAGGAGAGTTACCGACAAGTCTTGACAGCAGAAGTTTAAACCATGTTTTGTAGGTCTATAAACTGCATAGTTTCATTTCGGGAGGCCGACTGGTCTATACAAGTCATGTTAAAATACAATATTGCGCCAAATGAAGTATACCAGCTATTACAGCTTCCAAGTATTAACCTTAGTTTATAAGGTTAGGGACTAGATTGTCCAGCAGAAGAGTGCTAATTACTAAATTGGCTTAATAAAGTATTAATTTATAGTAACTGTTAAAAAACAATGGACACTCCAAACTTTATTCCATGGAACACAACATACAATGAAAGTCAATGGGGTCAAATGTTGTTTGGAAGTCATTGTGTTCCTCAGAAGAATAAGTCCAACATGAGGGTGAGCAAATGCTGACAGAATGCAGATTTGTTGGGGAAGTATCGCTTTAAGACACTCAAGGCTGTGCTATATGGTGAATATCTCATGTTATCTTGCTTAAATATAGCACAGAGTGTACCCAAAGTTTCTCCATCCTCAAAACTACAGACGTGACAAACTAGGCCTGACCATGTTGCTCGACTGATGTCAGTTTGTTCTTTGAGTAGGTTATGTGTCAGATTTTTTCTTTGGCCAACTCCCACAATGAGGTTTACTTTCAAAATGAGCGTCTACAGATGAGATGACTAGCGTCTCTATTGTGCATTTGAAGTCACAGAACCACTGTAAAGTAAATCAAATATTGTTCTTTCTGAAGTTGCAAATCCCACAACACCCCAGATTTGTCTCTCGTAATGTAAACAACGTTTGATTCAGTTGTGATGAGTTATCAAGCTTTGTTTGAGGTAAAAAGTTCATCATTTTATTTTTGGTTCTGCTCCATTTACACGTGCAGTATATTTGGAAGAGGAAGTCTGTGTGGGGGAGTTTGAGGGGGCTGCCGTCATCCTGGTTTGGTTTACAATGCTCCCGAGCTTCCACGTCACTTCCTCCCCGTGAGATGGTTCCCATGTGGCTGTAAACACCCACACCCAGACCCCCAGCCCGCCACTGCCAGATCAAATACAGTTCTTATGACGCAGACACTGTGTGAGATAAACACATGAAGCACATTTAGCTTTCTCAAGAATTCAACCTTTAGAACGTTATTAAGAAATGTTTTGGGGAGTACAAAATATTCTTAACTTTATTCATTAGAAAGTTATAAGACGATAAATAGCCGTTACTAAGAATTTTGTTCTTAAAGGCCCACTGAAGTGCCTTGGACCCATAGACAGTAAAAGAAATGGACACAGCGAGCCCATTGATTTCAACGGAGAAAATTGAATCCTGTTAAAAGCTGATAGCCAGGCGTACTGCACATGGTCAAACTGAGCCTGTCACATGAGCAACCTGTATGGATTCTCCCTCGACTTTAGCGGACTTTATGCCTCTACCTCCCACCAATTGCCTGTGAGCTTCTCCTCCTCTCTATACGGTAATTTCTCTACTGTGCGACAGAGAGACGATTCGTTATGACTCAATCGTTAGCCTATTTTTACAAAAACTGCTTTTACGGGGCCATAATGTAAGCTACAAGGTAATGGAGCCTTGTATACGTTGTCGTGTTTCTTTAGAAATAAATAATGGACAAATTAAGTCTTTGGACGCCTCAGATTTATTTACCTCAGAGTAAATTTATTCGCTGTCAAAGTGACGCCAAAATGAATGGGAGTCAATGGAAGCTAACAGCATAAGAACAATGCTACAATGGCGGCTCCCGTGAGGCTTCAGCTTTTGGCTGATGGATTACCCCCTTGCTTGGAAAGCACAGCTTTGACGTAATTTCTTATGAAACAGGAAGCTAAGGCGGGACATATTGAATGGCTTCTCCCCCTTTTCAAATAGCCAATAGC